TGTCCGTCTGTAAACGTTTCACATTTTCGACTTCTTCTCAAGAACCACTGGGCCAATTTCGACCAAACTTGGTACAAAGCATCCTTGGGTCAAGAGGAATTTAAATTATTACAATGAAGGACCAAGTCCTTTCACAAGGGGAGATAAATAAGAAAAAGGCAAAAATAGGGTGGGGTGATTAAAAAATCTTCTTCTCAAGAACCACTGGGCCTGGAAAGCTGAAACTTGTGTGGAAGCATCCTTGGGTAGTGTAGATATTAAATTATTAAAATCATGACCCCCGGGGGTAGGGCGGGGCCACAATAGGGAATCCAAGTTTTACTTAGAAATATATAAAACAAATCTTTAACAATCTTCTTCTCAAGAACCACTGGGCCTGGAAAGCTGAAACTTATGTGGAAGCATCCTTGGGTAGTGTAGATATTAAATTGTTAAAATCATGACCCCCCGGGGTAGGGCGGGACCACAATAGGGAATCCAAGTTTTACATAAAAATATATAGAACAAATCTTTAAAAATCTTCTTCTCAAGAACCACTGGACCTGGAAAGCTGAAACTTGTGTGGAAGCATCCTTGGGTAGTGTAGATATTAAATTGTTAAAATCATGACCCACGGGATTAGGGCAGGGCCACAATAGGGAATCCAGGTTTTACATAGAAATATATAGAACAAATCTTCTTCTCAAGCACCACTGGGCCAGGAAAACTGCATGAAACTTATGTGGAAGCATCCTGAGGTAGTGTAGATTCTAAAGTTTTAAAATCGTAAAAGGGAAGGGGGTTTTGGGGCATGATAGGTTTAGCAAAAGAGGGAATCTGGTAAAGAACTGCATCACCCAAGTTACTCAGGTGAGCGATGTGGCCCATGGGCCTCTTGTTTCCAAGTATTTTTTTTAAGTGATACTTTCTATCTGTTAATCCATAAAAAAATTATAAACTGTAAAACTATAGCTCACATAATTTTGGAGCTGTTGTAAAAATAAATTCTTGGGCATGTTGATCTTTGATGAAACCTTAAGGTATGTCACTCGTCAGCTTTTTAGAAAACTTCACGCAGAACCTCTTACTCAAAAAATATTCATTAAAAACAATTTTTATAACATAATTTAATTCAACAATGTTAATGTTTTAAACATTCAAAGAAAAACTACTAAAAATCTACAAAGAAGCAAGTTTTATGAGGGACTATTTCTTGTGGTGGAAGGATATGTAGCAGATAATTCTGCAAATCTGCACATTTTTTAAATTGAATATTCTGGAAATTTAGCCTCTCATACTTTTACTCAGAGAATATTTTCTGTTATGATATTGCTAGGAATATTTAATATAAGTCTTAATTTATATTTTTAGAACAAGTTTTACCTTCCTTCAACAAACTTTGCCAAAAAATGAAGATATGTCAAATAAGTCAAGATAAAATTTATATCATTTTTCGCCTGAAAATCATATATAGTTTGACCAATATTTCAAAATTAACATCACTGACCCCAGCTTTTTCTTTCATTATTTTTAAGTACTCGATACTTGTGACTGATCAGTACTAAAGTTGCAAAAAGTTTGATTTAAAAAAAATGTTTTATTGCCTATTTAGTTTTTTAATACCCCAAATATGTTACTTTTTTGGTTCAAAAAGGTCAAACAATAATTTACGCGCATTAATTTGAAAGTTTTGTTCAATGATAAATATTATCTAAACTATTTTACGTAAAATAAAATTGAATTCATTGCCTTGGTTACATTTAATAAAATATGATAAAGGTTAATGTAATCTTTACCAAAGAGTAAAAGTTTAAGTGCAAAAAGGTCAACTTGATTGTACCGTAGATCAGTAGGATGTACACTGACCCCCTATTTTCTCGGCGATTTTGAGTCGCACTATACGACTACTTATCTTAAATATACTCCTCAAAAAATCTTGGATTTAATAAATTTCACGAGTGACTTACCTTAAGACATAGATGACTCTCAGAATGATCAGATACAACGGGATTTTCTGGCTGTATCATGTAATATGATGTCATGAATAGTGTCCTTTCTTACATCCTTTAGATTTCTAGAAAAAAAAAAACAACACTTTTTGAGTTGCATTGTAATTTTCATATTTCTTTCTCTTTACTGGGATCATGGTTATTTTTTATGATTTTACAAAACTTGTTTCAAATAAAAGTTCATAATTTTTTTCTTCAAATTTTAGGTAGAACGGAAAGCTTTTTCAATGCAAGGGTAAAAAATTAAACAGTTATAGTGCTACTGACATTCAAATGGAGAAATTAAAAGAGCACGCCAGTACTCCGGTAGGTAAAAAGCTTCATGAATGTAACTTCTGTAGGAAAACTTTCCACTCAGGTTCCATACGTAGACACATAAGGACACATACAGGTGAAAAACCTTATAAATGTGATTTGTGTTGGAAAGAATTCATACAAAAAGGAGCATTGAACGCACACAAGAGAACACATACAGGTGTAAAGCCTTATAAGTGTGATGTATGTGGGAAGGCATTCTACAGCTTGTGTCACTTACAGACACATATGAAGATACACACAGGTGAAATCCCATATAAATGTAATGCATGTTCGAAGACATTCACACGCTTACATCACTTACAGGATCATATGAGAATACATACAGATGATAAACCTTATAAATGTGATGTGTGTGGGAAGGCATTCAAACGGTCAAGTGACTTACAGAAACACATAAGGATACATACAGGTGACACACCATATAAATGTGATGTATGTGGGAAGGCTTTTAACCAGTCACAACACATAAAGCATCACATGAGGACGCATACAGGTGATAAACCTTATAAATGTGATGTGTGTGGGAAGGAATTCATCTATTCAAGCTCCGTAAAGATACACATGAGGATACATACAGGCGATAAACCTTATGAATGTGAAGTGTGTGGGAAAGCGTTCAGCCAGACACAACACGTACAGTCACACTTGAGAACACATACAGGTGATAAACCTTATAAATGTGAAGTATGTGGAAAGAACTTCGGTTACTCACAAAACTTGAAGACACACATGAGAACTCATACTAAACTGTACAAATGCAATGTGTGTGGGCAGACATTAAAAAAATTAAAGAACTTACGGAGACACAGAAATATACATACATCTGATGTGTGATGAGTTTTAGAAGGCGTTCTACAATTTTAGGAATTTGATAAAGACAAATGTAAGTTGATAAATCATATAAATAATGCGATTTGTAAGAGGAGGTATTCAGCAGATCTGTCACTTTTTAATACGTATGAAAACACATACAAGTGATAGATGGAGAATGTGATGTGCATAGGAAGGCTTTCAGGTGGCCAGATATCTTAGAAGGAGACGTGAGGATTTATACATGTGATCAGCTTTAATTGTAATGTTTGCAAAAGGGCATTCAATCGCTCTGAAAGCTTAAAGAGTGATACTAGTATGGTGACGTATACAAGTAAACAAAAACATCATTGTGATGTGTGTGGAAAATTCTTTCCATTTAGTAATCTAAGGAAACACATACAGACATATATCAGTGAAACCTTACAAATGTGACGTTTGTGGAAAAAGATTGAAAGGATATTTAAAAGATCATATGATGAGGATGCATCAAGTTTAAAATCTTTATTATAGCCCCAGCAAATGAAGTTTGCATTGTTCTGCAGATTGTTCCTTTTTCCTTTCTAAATCGAGAAAGAAATCTGTAAAAGAACAAGATTTATTGATATTTTTAATAGAAATTAATTAGTAACATGCATAAAGAGGCTTTTAAAAAATAAATTTAAATAAACAGAGGACTTCTTACATGTAGTTATGTTTTTAACAAACTTTTCTTGAATTTTTTATTCAATATGACTGAGTTAACTGTACTTGTTCAAATTGGAAAAAAAAAGAGGAAAAAAAATTTAACTTCAAACACATGTCAGACTTTATCTTGTGTGAAATACGGGATTACATGAATAGAAAAAAGCTTCTAAAAGATTCTTCTTTAAAAAATGAACCAAAGGTGACTTAGAAAATGCAAATGTGAAGTTTCTAGTTCACCTGAACACAGTGTTTAAATGATTATGAAGAGTGTGTAACATATTGATTTCAGGACAAGATCTCGTAAGCGTTTGAAATTATGCAATAAAATTTTGTATCACAGCGTTGGCTTAATCAATTTTTGGGTGAAAGTCATGTTAAAAAAAATAATAGATTTTGTCTTTCTAAAACATTTTGTTTCCGGACGATACTTTAATTAAAGCCCGTAATATTTTGCAAAATAATATTTTATATGACGATTCATTATAACCTTTAAAAAGACCCCTTATAATTCTGATGTCAAAGATCATAATTCATACATTGAATAACTCTTTCTAGATAAGTTTTCCTTGAGCATTTCGCAATGAAAGCGTCGAAACTCCCCTTGGCCTTAAAAAAGAATCTGAAGTCATCTAGGTTGGAAATTCACATATACTTTTATCTGAATAAGTCTTTGAACTTTTGCTATGAAGTTTTAAATTGCATCTTCTAAAGCCTGGTTTTGAGGACCAAAGTCAGAAAATTGTGCATTGCAAAAAGAGTTTCCAGATGATGTTGGATCTCTTTAATTGGGCTTTTCAATGAAGTTATATATCACATTAAGAAGTCTTGGTAACTTATTTATCAGATAGTTCTTGTATCAAATAAATTGTCAAATATATTCTTTTAAACGTAATCTCTGTTTCCTATTTTAATTAAATTTATTTATAAATTTATAATTTTTTTTTTCAACTTAAAGCACAATATGTTGTACTAAAATGAAGTCCATACATGGTGCTCTTTAATCTTTTATCCCTGTGCTTCCTCCTTCACGGAAAGAAATGTAAATAAATTGAACGGCGTGTATAAACTGATGTGGTTTCGGATAGGCAACGTGTTTTTGAACATGATCAGCGACCTTTGGGGGGGAGGGGGTATAAAATGAAGATAATGTAGAAATACGATTAGCAAAAATAGGAGGGGGTCTTTTAAAATATTATTCTCTCGAACTTCTGGGCAAGAATGAGAAATCATACTTATGAAAGCTTCTTAAAATACATGTAATAAAGATTACTGTTTTTGAAATCATGACTGGAATAGGTATTCAAAATTAAACATAGGAAGTTGTACCCCCGCAAAGAAAGTGATTGTGTATTTTGGGGGTGGGGTTTGGGTTGGATGGGTGAGGAATAACATTTTTTGTTTCACTGCCCAGCTGTCCTTCTGCCTCTCAAGGTTTTCCCAGAAGGCCAGGCTTTAAATTTATTGAGAATCTTGGAGCTCATACTACTCGATACAAAGATTTCCAATGATTCTAAAGTGTGTCATGGCATTGGATAAAAAGAATATTATGGCAAATTCAAGGTCACTAGAGAAAGAGTTAATGTTTTGTACGAGCCATTTATAATATATTGTCGAGAATATCTGGAAGCTCATACTTGATACAGAGATTTTAGATTCAGAAAATAGTATATATTCAATCTAGCCTTTTCTTTTTTAAGTTCAGACTTGATACAGATTGTTTATGGTCCTCCGGTTTCAGATGACTAAAAATAATGCCATTTTATCAAATTCAGAGTCACTGACAGAAAAAAGATGTAAAATTCCTGTCAGGCTTATGAACTTCTAACCACTAAAAGTTGTTTGAGATTGAGGGTTTGTCTTGACACACATCCAAGGTTATTCCGTAGAGATCAGGGTCACTGACAGAAAAAAATATTTTCTTTTCCACGCTACGAATTAATAAATAAAAATCATTGGAGGCCGTACTTGAAACATATATTACAGCAAAACTCGGTTAGTACGAACACGGATATTGCGAATTTACGGATATAGCGAAGTCATCTTGAATCCCCAGCTATATAAATTTAATGAATTTCTTATACGGTTATAACGAATTACGGATATAGCGAAGTAATTTCTTAGGTCCCTGTGACTTCGTTATAACCGAGTTTTGCTGTATTTATAAATAGAAGTTGTGTCATGACCTTGATGAAGGCAAATCAAGGTCACTGACAGAGAGAAAAATTGTTCAAGCATAAGTTTGTAATTAAGGTAGGATTCTTCTCATATTTCTAATATTTAAAAATTATTGAAATTTTCACAGAATCAAGAAGACAATACCAGTAAGTGATAGTATCAGTGAAGTTAAATTTGACCGTTTTATATTAGAGGCAAGGTCAGGTCAAGGTCATTATCTTTTTCCTTGACATTAAGAATAAAAAAATAACAGTTGCCAATCATCTGATACCTACTTCTATTTCAAAAGTTTAATGATTGTTCTTTTTGCATAAAAACATATTTATTTACTATATCGGATCTATAGCATGCTAAATATATTACCAAATTTACATGAATAATTATTGGTTAATCCGAATTTTTCTCTGTTTTTCTTAAGTTTTTAGGATATATTAGTTATTTTCATATGCTTCCTATATTCAACTTTTTCTTATTTTTACATATAATAAAGTAGTCTTATAAATGTACAAAATGATACAAAAACAAAAAGTTTTGATCGTTTACTAAGCGAGGAAAAAAAAAACTTTTTATGGATTTTTGGCTAAAATTTTCACTTTGATAGGAAGTGTTTTGATCGTTTACTAAGCGAGAAAAAAAATACTTTTTATGGATTTTTGGCTAAAATTTTCACTTTGATAGGAAGTGTGTAAAAGCTAATAAAGTTCTAGTTTGTTTGCAAAATCATATTTAATAGCTTGATAAGCTATATAGCTTTATCAAGGTATTACAAATACCTTCATAAAGGTATTTCATGAAATGAAAATACCAAAAAAAAAAAACATAAATTCGAGTTCTGAGCTGTTGCTAGAAAATTCATTCATGCATGTAAAGTACTCAGGTATCAAAAAGACAGCATAAAAGAATGCATGCTCACACGACATGCTTTTATACTGATTTCTTTGCGTTTGAGTCCTTTACATGCTTGGGTAAATTTATACTCTCAGCAATTCCGAAGTCGACTTTGAGTATTTATTTTTTAAGATTTTTTTTCTATATGTTTCAATTACATAAGACATCTTGATCAAGGTATAAGTAATACCGTGATCTAGCTATATAGCTTAATCAAGCTATATACCTTTATCAGAGTATTGTGCTGGACCTGTTAATGATATTATAGGATGAGAAACGTCATACCTATTTTTAACCAGCCAATAATCTTTGCTTCCCTCAGAGCCGTAACCAACAACTAGCATACCATGATCAACTTTGGTGGAGCTGCAGGAGGGCTCGCTGTAAACACCTTTCTTGTACAATTGGAATGATTTATGACCCGCGTCTACAGCAACGGAAATAGGGCCGACGGTAGCAACAGCTTCCTGAAGGGCACTCTCTGATTGGTGGGGGATAATCTTAACGTATCCGGTATCAGTGGCGCCGACATGTTTTCTCTTGAATCTACAGTGTCCGGTCTAACATAAAAGAACAAATAATATGGGATCAGGGCGATTCGGTTTTTTAAGGAACAAAACATGATTTGTACACAATAATGTACACAAAAAATACACCCCACGCACACTAGGTCAAGTTTATGTCCTAGACCTTTATATAGCTATTTAAAATCCAACCGAAAAATTGGAGGTATTAAAAGAAGATAAAGGCGTGCATCTTTACGAATAGGAGCCCGGTTTCGCCAAGGAAATATTTGTGAATCGGTAAAAAATATTCATTTATTCTCTATGCATATCTAATTACAAATAAACAGTTTACTTTACTGCCAAAGTTCATTACGAAATTCTTTATACTTTCAAAGATACTCTCAAATCAAATCTAAGTTGATCTATCTTTCTATACTCGAAGTCAGATTTGGATCCTGGTCCTTCACGTATATACAATGTATGAAATGCTAGAATTTACAGCATAGTACATGTTTTTGCACACAATTTTTCACCATTTGAAAGTTGAAAATGGGTGCTACATGTTTTTAGCAAATGCTTAGGGAATACAAATAACTTCAGGAAAAAAGTTTTCTTGTTGCGTCATCTTAAATTATATTGAAAATGGCTGGGGCCTGAGCTATATTTAAGTCAAGAAAACAGTTCATTTTGGAATAATAAATGTTCGCCCTTATCGGAAATAAGGTCACATCCACCTTAAGTAAATAATTTGTAAATACCTTAGCTTTGTATGGATAAGACTCCTCAGTATCAATTCCATTGTTATTCGCAACGTATGTGAAGGCACTGTCCATATGTCCGCCCTTGCATCCATGGTCTCCTAAATTTGTAGAATGCGTCTAATTCAAATGTTGGTATTTTCAAGACAGACAACTCATAAACTTTTTCAGAAAAATAAATCAATTGTTACAGATATCAATTAAATCATTTTCAGAAAGATTTTTTAAAAATCTGACGCCATTCTGATTCAGAGAAATGCACACACATTTTTTTTTATTTTGCGGGATACACTCCTGACTCTCTGGCCAAATTTCAACAAGGAGTAACAAACACATCGAAATGGATACCGGTAAAACCCAAACCCTTTTAATTTGAAAAATCTATGGGTTAAAAAAAAATAGTATTACCTCCATTATGTGAGCAGTCGAGGAGATTCTGTTCGGAGAGGGAGACAAGTTTCTTGTCGACCTTGAAATGTTGTCCTTCAAGTGCCCCAGTGGCGGAGAAAGTCCAGCAGGATCCGCAGTTTTTTTGGTTTTTGACCGCTGTGACGTAGCCCTCGTCTCTCCAGTCGACCTTGTCGGGAAGGTCGTCGACCTTGTCGGGAAAGTCGTCGATGTTGCTAGGCGACATGTACATTTCTACCTCTG